CTGGCAAAGAGAAGGCTCCACGGAGACCTTACAGTGGCCTTCCAGTACTTAAAGAGGCCTACGGGAAAGATGGGGAGAGACTCTAACAGGGAGTGTAGGGATAAGATGAAGGGTAATGGTTTTAAACTGAGTGTTAATTTAGATTAGATATAAGGAAGAAATTCTTCACTGTGAGGGTAGTGAGACACCCGAACAGGTTGCCCAGAGAAGCTGTGGCTGCCCCCTCCCTGGCAGTGTTCAAGGCCAGGTTGGACGGGGCTTTAAGCAACCTGGGCTAGTGGAAGGTGTCCCTGCCCATGGCAGGGGGGTGGAACTAGATGGTCTTTAAGGTCCCTTCCAACCCAGACCAGTCTATGATTCTATGAACATTCATTACGGGGAGTAACAAATGAGTAAGTGCACACACATAAATGACCAGAGCCAGTTCTGCTCTGATGCCACACTAGACTTAGTAGTCCCTGAGTGCCCACTGGAGACACTAAAAAAAAACAGTTCACATCTTGCACTGAAGAGAAAAAACCCTCATGAAGTGAGATGTGAATCTATGCAGAACAGTTAGCATTCCCTGCATGAGGCCAACCACATCTCAAAATTACACCACTTTACCACTAGTTAGGGTATCCTGACACTCATCCTGATATTATTCTGGATTAGAGTGAGTTGACTATAGCACTCTCTGGAAGACACATACAATAGCAGCACTAACAACTGGCTTCTAGAACATCAACTTTTTTTCCTTTTCCATTAAAAAAAATAATTATTTAATGTTTGTTTTTTTCACTCTCTACCCAGCAGAACACCAAATAATGGCACTGTTGCTGACCCTTACACTAGTATTTCATAAAAGTTTATTAAGTAGCGTATCATTCATAAGCTTTAAAATTCTCTTATCAATCATGGCAGTAAAAAAGAGCATCTTACCAGCTTTGAGCATATCTAGTGTTTTCATTTCCACGTTGCTACTCTTACTAGCACTGAAGCATTCTTTTGTAGTCTTTACTTTTCCAGATGACTCCACAGACTGTGTAAAATTTGCATTTTGATTCTGGCTATATACTTCAGAAAGCAATGAAGCACTTCCCCCTTTCTCATCCATCTGCAAAAGAGAAACAAGTTCACAATAGCATGCCATTCATGCAGCTAAAGAGAAATGGAGAAAACAGCCACAAGAAGTAATCTTAGTAGAGATAAAAATTAAGATTAATCCTCATTATCAAACTATCTACATAAATATATACATCCCTACACAAATACATGCATCCCAGTGTTCACAATAGAAAGCACATGCACACAATCCCAAACACCACTTGTGCAAGTAGTTAATGAATTGAATTTAATATTAGCCTTCTGTAGATAAAATGAATAAAACTTGTGATGCTTTTTTTCAGTTGATATTAAAGGTTTCAAAGAAAGCTCCTTGCAGCAAGACTGCAACTTGATATACTGACATTTCATTACTAAGTATCTTGGGTTTTATAACTGCTTTTGCAAAGCATTTCAAACACTTGAAACCAATAAAGCCCATGCCAAGATGCAATCCATACCTCAGCTATACTGAAAATTGTATTTGGGCTCAATAGCGATTACTTTTATTTATTTGAAAAACATTTTTCTGCATCCACTTCAGAGTGAGAGAAACCTACACGAGAAGGAAGATCAAATGTAGTAAAAGTATCAAAATCTATTATTTAAGCAGAGATTGATTGTGGTAAGCTCAGATGCTATCTTTTAGTAACAACACGAACAAATACACTTTTTAGCACACTATTCAGCTTACCTCCTTTAAATTCATTTCTTGGTCCATCTCCTTGGTTTCAATCTTCAGACAAACTGTGTTACTTTTTCCTGGTGGTATAAACCTTGGCTTTTTGGCTACATTTCCTAGCACTTGACTTGGAGCTGCTGATCGCCTCATATTTAGTTGTACTGCTCTGGAGGGTGGAGAGGAAGGAAGAAAGCAGATAGAGACAGCTGCAGTCAGAATTAGGCTTTAAATACAAAAATATATCCATAGATAACAATAAGTGCTATTTTAAAATAAAATAGCATCAAAGATTTTCAAATAGCAATGTTAATTCACAAGCATAATACAACTTAAGAAAAAGTAGTATTGTTGCAATGAATTGTTTAAGTACTAAGAAGGATCGACTACAGCAAAGTCTGCAGTTGAATACATCCTTTTTCATTTGAAAAGCCAATAATGCAGTTCACAATAGCAAGAGACGCTCTTTAGATCCACAATGTAGGGCTGCTTAACAAAGTTACAGCAGTTTAGAGGAAAAAAAAAAAGGCAATTTGAAACAGAACTATTCCAAATGCTTAAAACATAATTTTGAAAAGCCCATTATTAGTGGACAACAAACAACAAATGTCAAAGGTATGTTTCATATTCGAGAGAAGTATTAAACAATCAATTATATTGGTCATTCAGATTCACTATAATAAAATTAGAATTCAGCAGAAAATTATGTCAAAATTACAGTGGAGATTATCGCTCAATGTTATGTCCACTTGAACAGTGGAAGGAACATATTATAAGGTTTCTCTCAAAATAGAAGGCCATTATTCCCTAAACAACCTCGGGACAAAACCAAACATACACCATATGGTAATATTACAAAGCATGCTTGCAACCACTAGAATTACAAGTTATAATCTTAGTATTTCAAAGTAGAAGAAACAAGAGAAAATTCCAATAGAATAACCCAGCAGCTGGAAAGGTGAAGACAAGCATGGTACAGCAATTTATGGAACATATTTTGGTTTAATTCTCCATTCATACATGGATTCTTCATTTTAATTGATTCCCCCTAACGATTGGGTTAAAATAAACCATAATGCGGACTGCAAACACAAACTTCTCTACCTTTCTACCATCTTGACAGCATGTTTACATCCTGTTGTAACAGCCAGTGAGTCTCTGCATTTTTTTTACGCTACTCTGCACTCCAGTGGCTTAGTAAGGCACAACAACCTTTCTTTCCAAGATTTGCACAGAAGTAGTAATGAGTACTGTACAAATGCTTTGCGAAGTAAACTCACTCACTAACCTGAATTCTGCTATCTCCTCCACATCTGAACAATTAGCATATATATGATGCTGTTACTAGACGTAAACCTTAACGGCAAAACGGCCTGAACTACTGTCACTTCCGCTGTGGCCATTATTAAAAGGAAAGGTGTCTCTGGTTGTGCCAGCAGTTCACGTTAAGTTAGGCCTACTGGACAACCGTGTTCACATATGAACTTTAGTTAACCCTATGCAGTAAGGGAGTAGCTGAGTTATTATAACAGGAGTACCTGTAGTGTAAACAACTGATAGCCATTGTGAAAGCTGTAAAGGTGGCAAGAACCTTCCAGAGGAGCAGACTGCCAGCACCAACACTGACCACAGTCAGCTTCAGGTGCCACATGAACGTGAACAAGTTCTCTCCCCAGCCCTGTAATACATGGTGACACTTGGAAAGACAACCCAGGACACCCCACAACTCTACATGAGGACTATACATAGCAAGGCTGAACTGCTACACTAACCCCGCTCACTCCACTTCTAAAGCTTGTCACATCTCCTGTGTGAACAGAAGTTGTGCAGTTCATAAATTGCATGTATCTGTGATTAAAGCGTTCTGGTTTCCAAACACATTTGGATTTTGCACTTTCATTTGATCTTAAACCCAAAAACAGACTCCTTAAGAAATTTGCAAATTAGTAAGAAATTTAAAGATATGACCCTTGATAACCCAGTAACTTCAGTCCCATTAAATTTAAGAGCTTGTAAGAATAATACCAGTATTACCTATTTGCAACTACAAAAACCATTAGGGGTTTGTGGTTTAAAAATGTAATACTGCTTCCAGCAATACATCTCTCTCTGTCTTCAAAATACAAGGTTTTATGAAACATAATAAACCATAAAATAAAATTAAAAAAAGGTTTAAATTTTGTATCTTTACAATACTATACAGAAAGAAGGCCAATACGGATATGCAACAAATGATTGGTGCTAGATACTTTAGATGGGATCAGAGTAGGCGTAGCAAGAGCAAGGAATAGCTCCACATTACAACTAAGTCAACTGACAAGCAAACATGCCCTTTCCTTTGAGACAGTCACCAATATGTTGAATCACCCTGTACTTGCAGTACCGTTAGGTATGGTTGCAGGGAAGCAGCTAGAGGCAACGAGAACAGCACTGCTCCTGCCTTTTATTAGCAACCTAGCTTGGCCAAATTAAGCGTACCATGAAACCACAGCCTAAAACGTCATGAATGCATCTGGTTTTGCAAGCAATTATTTCGGTCGTGGTTTTCTCCTTAAAGGCATCTTAACAGCTGCATTGAAATGACATACACATACAAATAGTATTTCAGAATTTCACACATTCAACTCAACACAGTGTGCATGGTGTCCTGCTGAAGGCAGTTATATTATACATCTTACAATGCCTGCATTGGCACAAACATAATCGGCTGCTCTAATGAACATCTGAAGAGACGTTCCCGGCACAGATGACGAGGCTAAATGGTTTTTAGTCAATTACAAAGATGTGACACAGGATTAACTTTTAGTCAGTTAAATTTAAACCATGCAGCGAGTACATCCCCTGCAATATCAATATTAGTGAAAAATCAATTCAAAGGAGTAGGAACTGTACGGACTCGGCGCAGGCCCAAACAGCAATGCTGTTCAACTTACTATTATGCGGCCCACCCCGCCTCAGCCGCCCGGTAACGGCTGCAGGGGGAGGGGGTCTCCCTACGGGCAAGTAGAAGGGCTGAGAGCGCTCAGCCAATTCCGCCAACCCCGCGAGGAGAGGCCAGAGACCACCGCGGCCGCTGACCCGCAGCCGGCGCCGCCCGCCCGGGCCATACCTCAACCACCAGCCCCGCCACCGCTTCGCCACTCAATTGT